CAATTAGAAAGTTCTGGTTCGTTGGAGTCATCCCCATGATCTCAACCAGTAGGAACTTGTACTTGTTTGTCTTGTACGTTGAGTCGATCAAAATCACAAATGGCCAAGACTTGATCATATCAGCACAATCAGGATGCACAAGGAATAGATGAGTCACCTCCGCTGTATCTTCATCAGAATCAAACCAGAACAGGTAACCACGTGATTGTGCCTGGTGTAGCAGCTGCTGTATAGGGTTCCTTCCTTCTGACCGTTCAACCTTGAGTTGCTGTCTGATGTTGTAGATGTGTCTTCGATTTGGATGGTCTTCTGGAAATTTCTCTAACACAGATGCTAATATTTTAGCAGGCTTCACTTGAGCATCACTCATTTCTTTGACAACTAATTTCGCAGCACGACTTAAGCCACTCAGCTGTCGATGACCCACTTCATATACTATCATCTCATGGTTGTGATACCCCCATTTATAGTAACCAATCACTTCCCAACCATCACGACTCCGTAGTTGTCGAACCTTTACTCTGAACTCACACCCACAACCTTTCCGCTTTGTATCAAACCGAGTGGCTGTACTGAAATCTCTTTCTTCTCTTTTGCGATAACGGTCGCATCTCAAAATGCGATCCATTCTACCATCCCGTTGAGATTTATGAGTTGATACTACCAAGCAAAATCCAGCTGTAATTGCAACCTGTTTTGCCCAATCAATCGCTTGTTGAGCATCTTCGAATGGACCATCATGTCCAAATATCTGATAAGTGGCATTTATGCCACTATTTAGATCCTCTAATCGCGGTATTTTTCTACGTTTGTCCCTTGTTTGTACCCCTTTTGCTCCGTTTCTCCCTTTATTATGTTTTTGTGCTTTTCCTCGTGTTTTGTAGGCTTTTGGAGTTGATTTTAATAGAATGAAGAGCTTGGAGAATTGGAGTTCATTTGAAGAGCTACAAAGGAAGTTAAGGAGCAAGCAAGCAAGGCCATACGGACAGCGCGGGTCGTGCTTTCAGAATGGCGCGGGCGCGCCAAACCAAGCGCGGGCGTGCCTAACATTGGGGTTGAAAATATTGAAGGAGGCAGAATGTAGGCGCGATTTGGGCGCGGCTTAGGCGCGGGCGCGCCTAAGATAGGCGCGGGCGCTCCTAAGATAGGCGCGGGCGCTCAAGGGCCTGAACTCCGAAACTAACCTTTGTTCACTCTTTTAGCCATAACTTTTGATCTACAAATTGGATTGAGGTGATTCAAAATGCATTGGAAACTAGACTTAAAGAGCTTTCCAACATTAGGTTGCACGCCCCCAGAAGCCTCTTACAACAGAAGTTATGGCCGTTTGAAAATGAATGTTGCTGTCAGGCCAATCCCAGTGCGCGGCCGCGCAGGCCTCTATCGCGGGCGCGCACGAGCAGCTACGGGTCTTTTAAATGCTTCTTCCTCTCCTCTTTTTGGCCAAGTTTTGATGGTGGGTTTCTTTGGGGTTTTCTCTCTCCTCTTTGAGGGGTTAAACCCTAACATCTCTCCATCAATCTTCACATAAATTAGGCTTAGATTTAGTTTTAATCTTTGTTTTTATACTTTGCAATGTAGATTAAGAGTAATTTAGGGTATTTTAGAGAGAGAAAGTGAAGAGCTTCAATGGTGGATTGAAGAAGATGAAGATGCAAAGTGACATTGTTTTGGATTCCTTTTCAATACTTCAATGAGCATTCTAAACTCTATCTCATTTATTGTTCTTTCTTAATTTCTTGCTTGATTAGAGTAGTTGTTTAGTTTAATTGCTTCTCTTTGTTCTTCTTGTTGGGTTTTGTGTTAGTTGTTCATGATTAGTGAGTAATTCCCTTTACTAAGGGATTGGTGATAGCATGTGGTGAATCTTGAATGTATTAGGCTAGACAAATGCTGGTTATATGTGATTAAATATACCTTGTAACCATGTTTTTACTAATTACTCCATGTGAATGGCTAATCATGTGTTGTAATTGGGTGGATTGAACTAAGTTATGACGATAGTGTAACTTAGGGATATCCATTAGGTGATCGATTCTATGCAAAAACCTTAACTTTCACAGCTTATGACGATAGTATGGGCATGTGTTAAGTTGGGAAAGCCTTTGACCCCGATAAGTGGTTAGATGGTATTGTTGGTATTGCCTTATATGAGATATTTGGTTTGCATGTAAACTCATTTCCATTGCCTAACTTTATTGAAGATCATTGTCATGTTTGACCCTCTCCCTTGGTGTTAGTTTAACTTAATATAAATCTCATTTTTGTTTATTGTTCTATCCATCCTATCTCTTTGACCTAGCTTAATTGGTGGTGGTGTTGATAGTGTTTATGTCGTCTCCGTGGTTCGACCCTCTACTTACCACTAAACTTGTTTAGTGTAGGTGTAGGTTTATAAATATTGTTTGGTTGAGGGTAGTTAGTCCAACGACCTAATTATCCATCCCCAATATCCCACTGTAATCATTTCCGTCTCCGCCATAATCCTGCATTATAATAAATATAAAGTAAAGCTTAAATTAATACATTTAACACAACATTAACACATAATTAATATCTACATTTTTAATTTGTAAATTTCATTTCTACATTTAACGGATAATACATTTACTTTCTATATTTACACATAATTAACACAAAATTAAAAACATAATTATGTATAATATTATTCATACACATACAAATTTTAAAACACAATCATTTATAAAAGTATTCATACAAATAAACAATTAAACATAATTATATATAAAAGTATTCATACACATACAACATTAAAACATAAATTGTTTTCTTGGAAATTATTAACACAAATCTAATTTCCACATCCTAAATCAAAACATAAAATTATTAAACTTAATTTTAAAAAAAAACTGTTTTTTTTTAATACAATTTTGAATTTTCAAATTAAAAAAAATAAAATAAATAACAATAAAAAAATAAAAGAAAAAAAAATATTGTTGAAGGGGCGACGTCTGGCAGGAAACGCCAGAGCCATGGAGGAGGCGCCTGGCAGGGCCGCCACATCCATGGGACTGGCGCCTCCCTAGGACGCCTGACCGGTGGTTTTGGCGCCTGGCAAGGACGCCTCATTGGTGGTTCTGGCGCCTAGGATGGACGCCCGTGCCGTGATTTTTAACGTTACTTTACCTCGTTTTCGTCGACGACGACGTACCTCCGGCGTCCCCCGCCTCTCCGGCCTCCCCTCCGGTCTCCCCCAGCGACCTAGTACGGCTCCACATTTTTTGAATCGAGATTTCCTCACTTTGGTTACGATTTTAGAAATGGGCAATATTGTCAAACCAAGTCTAATTTGTGGGCTTTATATAGAAAACTGTAGGCGATATTTAACAAATCCCTAGATTAGAATAGTCAAACTATGCACACATGTCGATGCACTAGTTCGTTTGTCCTTATTTTTATATAAGTAAATATTAATGAAAATTTTAAAAAAAGTTATATTATGAAACTTTATGTCAATACCTATCTAACAACATATTTTATGATACAATACAATATGCTGTTACATCTATAGTCAAAATTAATACATAGATAATAAAAAAAGTTTAACGTGTTAGTTATTCTGAGACCGACGGAATATACAGTTATGATAAAACATAGTTTTGTGTGGTATTGTTAGAAGTCATTGTCTTAAAATATATTTTCATAACATCAACTTTTAATTTTTATAATTTTACTTATTGATAATTAGAGCATTAATCATTGAAGTAATGCGTTGGCAAATGTGAAAAAAAATAATGTATCAACTAAAAAAAAAAAAGAAAAAAAAAGAAAAAAAAAAGAAAAATAGGAGAAAGTAATTTTTTAATAACCTAACTACCCAACCTATATATATTTTTTTCAATTAATATTTAGTCAAAAAATTACCTAAAATCATATACCGGTCAAAGTTTAATACTTAATAAAATACAATATTTACATTTTAAGAGATGTTTTTGGAGACCTCAAACCAGTTTAGCTAGACTAGAATATCCCAGAATCGGACTCGATGACTCTACTTGAATGACCCCGAAATCGACCTAAAAACAACGACCTGAAAGTAACCTGAACCCTGAAATCTACCCGGCCCATACCCAACAAGAAGTGGAATTCACCCGATCTTGACCCGACCTGACAGTACCCAACTCGAAGTTGACCAGTTACCTGAAGTGACTCGACCCGAAATCAACCCGATATCCGAACTTGACCTGATTCGAACTGACCAGACCAGATTTTAGCTCGAATTAATTGACCCGCACAGACCCGATACCTAAAGTGACCAGAAATAAAATCACATTATACCTAAAATGACCCGAACCAAAAATACCTGAGTAAGTTGATTACCAAAATGATCAGAATAATTTAATCCCAAATTAATTAACTTGAAGAAACCCAAATCTTGTGTGAAGTAATATTGATGACAACAATAACATTGATATTAGCACTAACAATTATATTTCCTAAAAAAAAACACTAATGATTATAATTATAACACTAATAAATTTACTGATATGAATTTAATTGAGCCGAACATGACTCGACCAAATCATGACCCGATGTTTGGATCGACTAGAAAAATTGACCCGGCTTGAATTGACTTGGCAAGAAACCGAACCGACTCAAAACAATTTACTAGAACTTGATTTAACCCGAACTCGACCCGAAGTGTTGACCCGATATCCAAACTGACCCGATTATTTGTTGACATAAAATCGACCTGAAACCTGAAATGACCCGACCCGACCCCGATCCGATTATTTATTGATCCGATATTGACCCAACCTAAAATGACCCAACTCTTACCCGATTCGAACGACCCGTTTGCCAGGTCTAGGTTTAGCCAATTATGGAGAGCCACAGCCTGCATACGTCACTGCTGGTGTCAGAGGTGTACTAAATCAAGGAAAAAAAAAAGATCACACAATCCACTTGTTTTCATTACCTTATTTAGTTTGCTTTGTTGACCCATTGACTAAGCTAAGGTCATGAATGATGTACATTCTCATCATATCTCTCAGATCTCAATTACTGCTCTTAATTACAATAATTAACTCCATTCTTAGAACGCCATACTCAATTATTTCTTGCTTCTGTCATTTTATGTAGCCTTTGGACCCACCAATACACCCACTCACCCACCTCTTAAACTTTGGTCAGTTTTTTTTTGGCGCCATGATTCTTATAAATATCGGTGATTTTTTCTGATTAGTCATAGGTTTTTGAGTGAAAAAAAAAAAAAAAAACCAAGGAAATTTTGTGTGAAAATGGCTTCAGAGTCTGCAACTATCCCTCTTTTGACCCCTTATCAAATGGGTAACTTCCATCTTTCTCATAGGTGAGCTTAATTCCTCATTTATTCAATTTTCAATTGTTACAAGTATTAAAATTTTGGAATTCGATTTATGAGACTTATTTTCATTGTTGTATAATCTCGAAGAATTATCAATTCGATATTTGTAAGGGTGGAATTAGTAAAATTATTTGATGAAATTAGAAGTATTAATTTTTTTTTTGCTTTGGAAGAGAGTAGTGAGGACATAATGTGTAATGGGATTGTTCTGAATCACATAAAAATTGTTGTTGGTAGTAATAAAATTTATAAAGTCATTTGATGAATGTGGTAAGCATTGATAACCAATATGTTGTAAAACTCATATAGCATTATGCTTGTTAAATTAACTCTGGATTACATTAGTGATCATTGGTAAGAAAACAGATTTTTGAGCAATTCTATTCAAGATAGTTTGCTAGAGTTGCAAGATGGCAATCATTAGGATATGGCCCCTAGTGGCTCAGATACGTGCCAAGTAGAAAGAGGGGGAAGGTAGTGTACCGCCTATAGTATAGTCGCGTGTATGCTCCTCAAAATAAATATACATGGCCTGGTCTTTTCTATTTGACTCATCAACTTCGTTTACATAGAGGTTTAGGTGGAATCGGCATTTTACTCGTTAGTTTCTGTGTCGTCTATGGTTGGAGATCTTATTCTACCATTGGTAAGATGATCTCGTGCCAGCACTTTGTTTCCCTAATAACAAGTTGAAAATGTATAAATTCCTGTTCAATGCTTGGGCGGCAGTCTATGAAACCGTCTGGTGACTCTGGTCGGTTTTGTTGATCTTGATTGTTATGACTTTATTAAGATACTTTAGCTTTGCAACATTAAAGTACTTCAATTCCTCAAGAAATTTGACATTAATTTTAGTGTGTGTGTGTGAACTTTCATGATATATTTAATTTAGTCTCAGCAAGAACAAAGTGGGTTGGCTAATACTTAAGTGTGTTATGCTTGATGTAAGATTTGTCATACTTAAATGTGACAATTAAGTTAATCATTGATATTTTTGATTATCAGGGTTGTTTTAGCTCCATTGACCCGACAAAGGTCATATGGAAATGTTCCACAACCACATGCGATTTTATATTACTCCCAACGGACTTCAAATGGAGGTTTGCTCATTTCTGAAGCAACTGGAGTTTCTGACACTGCTCAAGGGTACGTTTGAGGCAGCTAGCTTTAGCTCCACACTTCTTAGTGATGAGAAATAAGAAATTCTTCCCTAAGTTTCAGACCTCTTTGATTGTGCAGGTACCCAGATACGCCTGGTATATGGACAAAAGAGCAAGTTGAAGCATGGAAACCAATTGTTAACGCTGTGCATGCAAAAGGCGGTATATTTTTCTGTCAAATATGGCATGTTGGACGAGTTTCTAATGAAGGTCACTAACCTGAATCCTTCTCTTTTTTATTATCTCAAGTTGCTAAATATAAAACTTCAGGCAATTATTGATCCTTTTCAATTTTGAAGAATTGTTAGCATATAAATGGATAGGGTGGTATTGCAAACAAATAGTTAGTGTGTTTCTATTAATTTTAACAGTTAGATTCAATTTACAGTCACTCTCTCATGTGAGGTGGTTTTGTTATAATATTTCCCTTATTTTCATCATTGAAAAGGGACTTACTAATCATGTGTATTAAATACTTATATTCATTTTACTTGCTCTCTTAATGACTTATGTAGCTTGGTCTCTATTATTTATTGAATTTCTTATTTAGGCTGTATTGTCATTGATTTAACATTTTATATTAATTGAATTGTCTTTAGGTTGACTGTTTTTTTGGTTGGTTTCTGATTACTTGTGCTTCATAATTTTTTTTTTCTTGTTTATTCAGTATTCACTTAGTGGGGTCCGTTTTTACTCCCTTTTTCTAGATTTTCCCTAGCCTTTTCTAACCCAAGTTTGCTTGTTGCCAGGTTTCCAGCCAAATGGCCAAGCTCCAATCTCTTGCACAGATAAGGCTTTAACACCAACAGTTCGGGCCAATGGTATAGATGTTGCAGAATTTTCAACCCCAAGGCGATTAACAACAAATGAGATACCTTTAGTTGTGAATGATTTCAGACTTGCTGCTAGGAATGCCATAGAAGCTGGTAAGTTTTTGCTAAACATGAGAATATTTGGTGGGAGATTGTAACTTTGAATGTGTGTTCTAATCCTGCCAAGATGGTAGCATTTAATCATCATCTTTACCATGGAATTCCTTGTTACAATATTTATTATTTTTTATATCTTTATATGTCTATCTTTATTTAAGTGATGACAAAATGCTAACAAAACCAAGTGATGACAAAATGCTTACAAAACCAGTCATATATAAATTAAGCCTCTTGTGAATGTCCATGATGAAGCCTTCGCGGCCTAGCAAGGTGTAAGTCTTGGAGGGGTGAACAGGCACGGGGAAGAATATACTTAGAATTTCTGTTGTATTTAGATTGTTTAATTATATACAATGTTAGTTTGACACAAAGCACTGTTTCCTTCACCAAATATTATTTGTCTTGATTACAACTTAATACACATTTCCCTCATTAAAGATGATAAATTCTTTCTAATGTCATGGCATACACAAAGACTAGTTGCTTGCATGTGTGTAGGAGAAGGAATGTTAAACAAGAAAGAAATTTTGTAGGCTGGAATAATTTTGGTTGTTTTCACTTCCATATTTGGTATCCATTGATGTTTTGGACGTGAAGTAAACTTGTGATGTGTGCTTGTAAGAGCATACAATCTATGTATATGGTTTATGTAGGCTTGGCCTTGTAAGATGTTGGCTCTCAATTTTGGTCCATGCATATAGATTGAATGCCTGGTTTTACTTTCAGCAACTTTTTTGATGATATCTTGTATATAGCAATGCATAATAAGTTGGAATAACACCCCTGTGTGATTGTCAAATGAGCATGGTTGTCAATGAGGTCTTGATCATTTGAAAGACCATCTTTTACTAAGCCTAACACAAAAAATAAGTTTTATCTTGTAAAAGGTACGATTGTATGTTTTCTGTGTCCCATGATTACCTAATATTCTTTTATAGGCTTTGATGGTATTGAAATCCATGGTGCTAATGGATACCTTGTTGACCAATTTATGAAAGACCAAGTAAATGACCGAACAGACCATTACGGTGGATCTATAGAAAACCGTTGTAGATTTGCTCTAGAAGTAGTTGAAGCAGTAGTGAAGGAGATTGGTGCAGGTAGGGTTGGATTTCGAATGTCTCCCTTTGCTGATTATATGGAATCAGGAGACTCAAATCCCGAAGCTTTGGGCCTATATATGGCTAAAGCCCTCAACAAGTTTGGAATCCTTTATTGCCACGTAATTGAACCTAGGATGATTACTGTTGGCGAGATAAAAGAATGTCCACACAGTTTACTGCCCATGAGGAAGGCTTTCAATGGTACTTTCATTGCCGCTGGAGGTTATAAGAAGGATGATGGAAATAAGGCTGTGATGAAAGATTACACTGATCTTGTAGCTTATGGTCGTTTGTTTCTGGCTAATCCTGATTTGCCCAAAAGACTTGAGCTTAATACGCCTCTGAATAAGTATCACAGAGATACATTTTACATTTCTGATCCTGTTGTTGGATACACCGACTATCCATTCCTTGAAGTTGCAATGTAGTCCACACCAAAATTTACAGCTATGTTGTTTGTTGATAAGTATATTAGGTGACTCGTACTTCGTAGCTTTGTCCGCCCGATCGGGCGGACATTGCCCGGTCTGACCGGGCGGAAGAAGAAGAGGTGCCTGGCAAATTCGTTGAAGAAGCTGCTCTCGCGCCCGACCGGGCGAGCCTTCGCCCGACCGGGCGAGCCTTCGCCCGATCGGGCAGACCTTGCCCGGTCTGACCGGGCGGTGGGGGTTGGATACGTTGAAGCATTCGTATGGAGTTTTCTTCTCGCGCCCGATCGGGCAGACCTTGCCCGGTCTGACCGGGCGGAGAAGGAAAAATACGGAACGCGGATTTTGCGGTTTTAGGTTATCTTATTTTATTATCTTTTTGCCCAAGTATCTTTTAATTAGGGATTAATATAAAACCTCCCTAATATCAGTATTAGGGTGAAGAGAGACAGAGTGAGAGCCGTTCTTGAGAAATACAAGAATCATCTTTGTAATCTTTGCAGTTTATAGTGAAATCATTCGATCTCGGTGCCCGTGGACGTAGCTATCACATCGATAGTGAACCACGTAAATTCTTGGTGTTGTTCTTATTGTTTGCATTGAATTTCTTTATTGTTTTCTTGTTTGTTTTCGACCTTTGCTTCCGCTGTCGCACAACAATTGGTATCAGAGCTCAGGTTCAATCCTTGGAGAGTTTCTTGAAGATAACAATGGCAGGAGATTCAACAATAAGAATTGAGAAGTTTACCGGGAAAAATAGTTTCGGGCTATGGCAAATTAAGATGAAGGCTCTGTTAAAACAACAGCAGATATGGCGTCCGTTGGCTCCAAAGAGTACTACTTCGGAGTCAGGAGACGGACCGACTGACTCGCAGTTAGAAGTTATGGAAGAGAAGGCACACTCTACCATATTACTTAGTCTTGATGATCAAATCATCACGGAGGTTGCTGATCAGGAAACGGCGGCTGGATTGTGGCTGAAGCTGGAGTCATTGTATATGACTAAGTCGTTGACCAACAAATTATTACTGAAACAGCGGTTGTTTAGCCTCCGGATGCAGTCAGGTACTTCCTTACGGGAACATCTAGAAAAACTTAACTCTATTTTGCTTGATTTACGTAATTTAGATGTTAAAATTGATGATGAGGATGCTGCGTTGATTTTACTTGTATCTCTACCGTCTAGCTTTGAGAATTTTGTAGAGTCTTTTGTTGTTGGTAAGGATTCTATAACCTTAGAAGAAGTGAAGGCAGCACTTCATACTAGGGAACTCAGAATGAAAGCTACGAGTGATAATGGGGAAAATGGTAGTGGGTTATTTGTTAAGTCCGGAAAGTCTAAAAAGAATAAGGGGTTTAACAAGGGGAACAATGCTGGGTCGGGTGCTGGAAACGGCAAGGATGGATCTAGTAAAACTACTACTAAAACATGTTATTACTGTAAAGAACCGGGTCACTTTAGGAATAATTGTCCGGTGAGGAAAAACAAGTCCCAGGCTGCTGTAGTTGAAGAGAAACCGAATGAGAGCTATAATTCAGAGGAAGATTTAGCATTAGTCAGTTCTGCTAGGTCTGATGATTTATCTGATAACTGGGTTCTAGATTCGGGGTGTTCGTTCCATATGTGTCCACGTCGAGATTGGTTTGATACATATGAACCTCGCAATGGGGGTATGGTTATAGTCGGTAACAATGCTCCATGTAAGGTCACAGGTATTGGTTCCATGAGGTTGAGGACTGTTGATGGGCGGAGGTTAACTTTGACTAATGTACGGCATGTTCCTGCTTTAGGAAAGAATCTGATTTCATTGGGTACCCTGGATGAATTGGGGTACAATGGTGTGTTTTCAGATGGGGAGTTGTGTATTTTCAGAGGTTCTGAGTTGGTACTTAAGGGTATCAAAAGGAACACCCTCTATGTTTTTGAGGGTGTTACACTGCCTAGTTCTGCGGTTTGCGCATCTGTATCTCACCAGGAGATGACTAAGATTTGGCACATGAGGCTTGGTCATATGGGGGAGAAGGGGATGCAGCTATTGTCCAAGAGGGGTCTTCTATCCGGGGTCAAGGTTGCCAACCTTGAATTTTGTGAGCATTGTGTGTTTGGTAAGAAACACAGGTCAAAGTTCAGCAAGGGTGCTCACATTACTGATGCAGTGCTCGATTACATCCATTCAGATTGCTGGGGTCCATCTAGAGTTGAAGGTATGGGAGGTTACCACTATTTTGTGTCATTTGTTGATGACAAGTCCCGATACACATGGCTTAGGTTGCTTAAGTCAAAGGATGAGGCCTTCAAAGTTTTCAAGCAATGGAAAGCTTTGGTGGAAAATCGACAAGGAAGGAAGATCAAGAAGCTACGAACGGACAATGGGCTAGAGTTTTGCAAAGACGAGTTTAATCAGTTCTGTGCAGATGAGGGTATAGGTCGGCATCATACTGTCAGGAAGACACCACAGCAGAACGGTGTAGCAGAACGGGTTAATCAGACACTGCTAGAGAGAGTTCGATGCATGCTCTCTAATGCAGGGCTTGGGAGGAGGTACTGGAGTGAAGCTGTGTTAACAGCTTGTTATGTCATTAATAGGGGTCCTCATTCTGGAATTGATTCCAAAATTCCGTTTGAGATCTGGAGTGGTAAGTTGCCTAATTTTTCGAATTTGAAGATTTTTGGTTGTGTTGCTTATTATCATGTTATTGAGGGTAAGCTGGATCCACGAGCCAAGAAGGGGTGTTTTGTTGGGTACGGGGATGGTGTGAAGGGGTTTAGAATTTTTTCACCTTCGGAGGGTCGGGTCATTCTTAGTAGGGATGTTACTTTCGATGAAAACACCATGTATTCAATTAAAAATGCAGAGATTTCAGATTTGAGAAGGGAAGGAGACAATTTATTACAGACAGATGGGGTACTTGAGGTACATCAGTCTACCATTGCTGATTTACCTCGGGTACAATATATTGATGATGATGCTGATGTTCCAGTGCCGGGTACTCCTGAACCTGAGATTACTCCTACTCATTCTAACTCTGGGGATGAGGTGGAGCAATCTAATCAGGGGTCATCTAGTCAACCTGACACCATTCTTGAGATGCCTAAACGAGTTATCAAGAAGCCTGTTAGATTGATTGAAGAGATGGAGGGAAGAAATTGCTGTGTTGATGCGATGACAGGTTATGCATTGAGTGTAGCTGATGATGTAGAGTCATTTGAACCTGCCACATATAAACAAGCAATTAGTTGTAGTGAGTCTGCGCAATGGCTTGCCGCAATGGGTGAAGAGATGCAGTCTCTTTACAAGAACAGAGTGTGGGAACTGGTAAAAGTACCGGAAGGGAGGAAGCTTGTGGGTTGTAAATGGATTTACAAGAAGAAAGAAGGGTTGTCGGAAACTGAGCAAATACGTTTTAAGGCTAGGCTAGTTGCTAAGGGGTTCAGTCAGGTAGAAGGGGTTGATTTTGTTGAGATATTCTCACCTGTGGTTCGACATACTTCTATCCGTGTGTTATTGTCAATTGTAGCACATTTTGATCTTGAGCTGGAGCAGTTGGATGTTAAAACGGCTTTCCTTCATGGCGATTTGGAGGAGGAGATTCTGATGAAGCAGCCCGAAGGATTCGAAGTTCCTGGAAAGGAACACTATGCCTGCAGATTGCTAAAGTCATTGTATGGACTTAAGCAATCCCCCCGACAGTGGTACAAAAGGTTTGATTCTTTTATGGTTTCACAAGGTTTTGACAGGAATTCATATGATTGCTGTGTGTATCATAGTAAGCTGGATAATGGTTCCATGATTTATCTTTTGTTATATGTTGATGACATGTTGGTTGCCACAAAGAATAAATCTGATATTGCTAGATTAAAGGAGATGCTTAACTCGGAGTTTGACATGAAAGACTTGGGTGCAGCTAGGAAGATTTTGGGTATGGAGATCTACAGGGATCGGGCTAGAGGTAAGCTTTTCTTGACTCAGAAAAGCTACATTGAAAAGATTTTGTCTCGTTTTGGGATGGAAAAATCGAAGCCTATAAGTACGCCAACTACTGTTAGTTGTAAGTTGTCTTTGTCTATGTCACCTCAATCAGAGGAGGAGTTGTCTTATATGTCTAGAGTTCCATATGCAAATGCGGTTGGTTGTTTGATGTATGCTATGGTCTGTACTAGGCCGGATATTGCGCATGCCGTTAGTGTTGTAAGCAGGTTTATGGCTCGACCTGGGAGGGAACACTGGCAAGGGGTGAAAAGGATTTTTCGCTACCTGAGAGGGACAGCTGATATTGGTCTTGTGTACGGGAATGATAAGGAATGCTTGGTCACTGGGTACAGTGATTCTGATTATGCAGCTGATGTGGATACCAGGAGGTCTGTGACTGGTTATGTGTTCACTTTGGGTGGTTCTGTGGTTAGTTGGAAGTCTACATTGCAGTCATCAGTTACGTTGTCAACTACTGAAGCTGAGTATATGGCTTTAACTTCTGCAGCTAAGGAGTCTATTTGGCTCAAAGGCCTAGTAGGTGAACTGGGTATTGCACAGGATTTTGCTACAGTGTATTGTGATAGTCTAAGTGCGATTTGCTTAGCTAAAGATCAAGTACACCATGATCGGACGAAGCACATTGATGTCAGGTATCATTTCTTACGTACTGACAAGAGGATTAAGGTGAAGAAGATTGGGACTGCTGACAACCCGGCTGATTTCTTCACTAAGCCTGTTCCGTTTAGCAAGTTTAAACATTGCTTAGACTTGCTAAATATTGATTACTACGTGATGTAGTAGGCCCTGAGGGGCGAAGTTGGGGAGCTCCTGGTGTAGGTGTGTTGGCATTAAGGTGGAGCTTGCCCGGGGCTTGTGATGCAGGTGGAGCATTATGAGTTGTTATACTTGGAGACGAGTATGTGATGGGTCTTGGTTGAAGACTTATCGGGATGTATGGCTTATGCATGAGTCCTGCATCGGGTTTGGCTTGAGATGTTTTTTCACTATGTCTTGATGGGGTCGTTTGCTGACTACGAGTTCTCGTCAAGGTGGAGATTGTTGATAAGTATATTAGGTGACTCGTACTTCGTAGCTTTGTCCGCCCGATCGGGCGGACATTGCCCGGTCTGACCGGGCGGAAGAAGAAGAGGTGCCTGGCAAATTCGTTGAAGAAGCTGCTCTCGCGCCCGACCGGGCGAGCCTTCGCCCGACCGGGCGAGCCTTCGCCCGATCGGGCAGACCTTGCCCGGTCTGACCGGGCGGTGGGGGTTGGATACGTTGAAGCATTCGTATGGAGTTTTCTTCTCGCGCCCGATCGGGCAGACCTTGCCCGGTCTGACCGGGCGGAGAAGGAAAAATACGGAACGCGGATTTTGCGGTTTTAGGTTATCTTATTTTATTATCTTTTTGCCCAAGTATCTTTTAATTAGGGATTAATATAAAACCTCCCTAATATCAGTATTAGGGTGAAGAGAGACAGAGTGAGAGCCGTTCTTGAGAAATACAAGAATCATCTTTGTAATCTTTGCAGTTTATAGTGAAATCATTCGATCTCGGTGCCCGTGGACGTAGCTATCACATCGATAGTGAACCACGTAAATTCTTGGTGTTGTTCTTATTGTTTGCATTGAATTTCTTTATTGTTTTCTTGTTTGTTTTCGACCTTTGCTTCCGCTGTCGCACAACATTGTTTCTGGTCAATTTAAGCTTAATTTGGCTTTGAATAAGTATCACAGAGATACATTTTACATGTCTGATCCTGATGTTGGCTACATTGATTATTGATTCATTGAGATGCAATGTAATCCAGACACCTAAATCTGCAATTATGTGTTTTTTTCCCCCGCTCAATTTGTGAAAGGTATAATCACTTGTTTGTACGATCGTTAGGTTCAAAGATAGCCGCAAAGTGTATAATATGATGTAGATGGGACTTGTCTGCAAGAACGCAGCATCATGTTAATTATATTCTAATAATATATCCTCCAAGAATATTTCATATTAACATACGTATCTTTGATGTATGGATATACGAGTATCATAGTAGTAGAGCTCACTAATTTATTCAGTTTTATAATTATGGTTACTGATACATAAGTTTGCGAGTTAAAAGTACATAAGTTGTGTAGTGCGTATGTTGTTATATGATTCTTATGCCCATTGGTGCATTGGATGTGAATTTTGTGTCCATGCCAGCTTGTAAGAGCATACAAACCCATGGATCTGGTTTGTTAATCTGTTTGGCTTTGTTAGAGTGTTGTTTTTGTTGTTGGTCCATGCATCTTGATTTGAGATCTTGATTCTACTATTTTAATTATCACAAAAAACAAGGGAGGGTCTCGAGGGATTTAGGATGGCAAAACTATGTTGGAATAGCATCCCTGTGTCAAATGAACATGGCTGCAACGAGGGCATGAAAAACCTTTCTATATTGTGTTCTTTAATTTAAAATTTTCACTCTTCTAGAGAGTTGATCTTTAGATTGTTGTGCCTCATGCTTACCTAATTATCGTGTAAAATTTTCTTATTTAGGGTTTGATGGTGTTGAAATTCATGGAGCTCATGGCTACCTCATTGATCAATTTATGAAAGACCAAGTTAATGATCGAACAGATCATTATGGTGGATCTTTAGAGAATCGTTGTAGATTTGCTCTAGAAATAGTTGAAGCAGTTGTGAAGGAGATTGGTGCAAATAGAGTTGGGATTCGTATTTCTCCCTTTGCCAATTACATGGAATCAGGTGACTCAAATCCGGAAGCTCTAGGCCTTTACATGGCAGAATCCCTTAGCAAGCATGGAATCCTCTATTGCCATGCAGTTGAACCTAGGATGATAACTGTTGGTGAGAAGAAGGAATGTCCTCATAGTTTACTACCTATGAGGAAGGCATTCAATGGTACTTTCATTGTTGCTGGTGGTTATGACAGGGAAGACGGTAATAAGGCTGTGATGAAGGGATATGCTGATCTTGTAGCTTATGGTCGCTTGTTTCTAGCAAATCCAGATTTGCCCAGAAGATTTGAGCTTAATGCACCTCTGAATAAGTATAATAGAGAAACCTTTTACATCTCTGATCCTGTTGTTGGCTACACAGATTATCCGTTCCTTGAAGATGCCATGTAGCCCAAATAGCAAAATCTGCAATTATGTCTATTCTTCAATCAATTTGTGGAAGGTACAGTACCTTGTTTGTAGCAGTTATTGATTCACAAAGAGCTACAGAAGATAATATGATGTTGATGAGAAATTGTCTGCAAATGTGCAGCATCATGTTGATCATATTTCACCTCTATGTCCCATTACAATAATATAAATATATTACAGTGGCATGGCTATAGCAGTAAAATATACATTTTGTTCATTTCTCGGTCATTTATATGAATGCAGCAGTACAATATTTTTAATTTCATTCGTACTTAATAGTATAAAGTATTTGCAGGTTATAAAGCATATCTTCATGCTGTATGATTTATTTACACTATCAGATGTTCCACTAATTCATTGAGGTTTTGCAAAGTGAAATAGGCAAGACGTAGGAATTGAATATTTAGTTTGAGGTGAGACTATCTCAGACTAACTTGTGAAAAACTAAGGCCATGAAGGTAATAAATTAGGGGGTTAATAAAAGTCAAACTTGAAAAAATATAAGTGATTAGAGGGGTTGTTGTAGGAGACAAGGTGTTTACAAATGAAATAAAGTAGTTGTGCCATAAAGAAAAGAGAGAGATGGGGAAATTATTATCCTCATTATGAAGGTAATAGTTACCCACCGTCCCCCTAGTGTAACCAGTGGCGGACCCAGGAATTTCCGACTGATGAGTCACAATCGATAACCAAATATGTAAAAAAAAAAATTTGACAACATGACAAGCTTAGCTCTCTAATAATTGACAAGATTAAAATCTGTACAAGCATTAGGGTGTATTCACAATTTGACAGACATAATTGACTATATCATTAGGGTGGGTCGACTATATCATAAGCAATCGTCCGAATCGCCAATCAAATCAGCACATATGCAAAACCCCATATAAATCTACCAAAGTCAATGGTGTATTGACAATTTGACAGACATAATTAACATCAATAAACACCCTAAATAAACACTGATTACAATTCACATGGTCAAAAAGGTTCAAATTTCATCAAAAAACCCAACAACATTAACAAAAGGTTCAAAGTTTACCAAACAAACAACAACAAAATCAACCAAAGAAAATAATTTTATTATTTTTTTTTTTTTTTAAAAAAAACTTAGAAATTTTTTTTGGGCCCTGGTGAGTCATTTGACTCACCATGCACAAGGGCAGGTCCGCCAATGAGTGTAACTATTACCCCTAAAATGAAGGTATTAGTTCCTTTTTCTTCACCTCATACTATACCATAACTACATAAATTTCCTTACAATCACACCATCACTATCTCCTCCTTCCCTATATTCACTTTCATTTTGCTTAGTTTGACTTTTATTACCCTAGTAATACATCTCCCTTAATCGAAAAAAGTTACTCAAAATCAAGTCAACACAGTCTCAAAATAATTTTAGTCCATCTACTTCGTACTAAGACCGTACCTTGGAATTTTCTGTCATTTGAATGTATATACTAACTTTCCATTTTTTGGCTCAAATTATTAGGATTGGCAAGAGGCCTGAACTTCTGCAGCAATTCATACTTTGAATAGTTCATTACTATGATGCAATTATAATCTTACAATTTTCTGAAAAATAGATAACATTAAATGTTTTGGAATAATATTGTTTTACAGCAATATCTAAAAATTAGCGTTTTTACAGCAGCATTTGTTTTTTCTGTCTCAGATAAGCAGCATATGAGCTCCAAGTAAACAAAAGGATATTCAGAGCATTAGGCACAACAATTAGAACAAACGTCGAAAATTTCAGTAAACAAATGAGCTCCAAATATCAGTAAAAGACTGCCTTTTAATAGCTGAACCAACTTTTTATTAGTATGCTGCAAGAGCACAACATACACCATTTTGTTTATTTCTGTACATTCGTTACATTACATGTGTCAACCAACAAAATAGAAAATAGTAATAAAAAAAAAAAAATAGAACTATGATACATAGGGTTTAGTAAAATCATATATCTAACTGCAAGTGTGCCGATTCATTAAAAGGTTGAAGAGAATTCTCTGACAATCATTGCTGCTTTTCTTCGGGAAGCAGAACATCAAAATCGCTTACAGTCCATTCTGCAGTCTCTCTTTTGTTACTAACATATATTTCTACACCTACGTTGATGGATGACCATATGCGCTTGGCTGGTGCTGTTCCTGGATCCTGCAGTGTTACATGCTCGTTAGCGATGGTTAGTAATTATAAGCTTAAATGCTACACACTTAGACAGCAGGTGAATTTGTTCATAAAAAGCACAATCAGGTGGAAGTTTTTGGCATGAAATGAAGCATGAGTAAAAAAAAAACATGAAAACCAACTTTGAGAAGAGCAGTTAGGAAATTAAGTACAGTAGTAGATAACACAGCCATAACCCAGATATTTTATCAATAATGTAAACAAAGAGAGTTCCAAAATCAGGAAATGAAGCTTCTAAATGTCTTCAAGCAGATAAGAACATGCCACAATGGAGAAGTATATCATATGTTGCAAGCAAGTACCTTGACTACCTTAATTTTTCCCTAGTAAACGATGGAGTCAGATTTCAAGAAATGATTTTTTTTCTTTTTTTTCCTCAGAAGAGGTGAACATCACAGAACGAAACAGAGACTACAGATTATTTTTTAAGATAACTGAGATAAGAAGTGATAACCTGGTAGAAGTACAACCGATTCGAAAGAGCCCCAACATCAAGCTCCCAGCTTCTTGAATCCCCAATCCAACCATCTCCTTGCTTTTCAGGATATCCATGGACAGCCCACTCGGGGTGAGGCAAAAGCTGTAAGATTTCTTGTGACTGTGGATTGCTATATGGATCGCAAATATCAACTGGTTTCTCAGCAAATTCAGCATTTCCTGGGCCGCAATAAAGATGGTATGCTGAATATGGGTATCGAAATGAATCATTTCTGTGAATAACCTCTCCCATAACACTAAGATGATACGGTGGGCATGAAACAAGGTTATCTGCTCGACACCAGCTAGTAGTTTCAGGGTTAATGATCATCTCAGAATATCTGGTTACATCAGTCAAGACATCACCATCACATGGAAGTCCATTATTTTTCCAGCAACCTCCAATGTCACTGAGATAGAACTGACTGTTAGGGCCACCACCTTGTTTGATGTCAAGCGTCAATTTTGTTTTAAAGTTAGGAGATTCTGGCAGCTTTAAGAAAATAAAATCTATTAACATTGCAAGTTGACATTTTTAAGGCAAGGAATAAATAGTGATTAGTATACCTTTCTAAGCATGCCTCTACCCTCATAATGATAGCCTCCATTGAATCCTCTGGTTGAGTCTGCTCTCAAGTACAACATAAGCCAAGGGTACTTGGAAGATGTTGATAATTTGTTCGAGATAATCCAACTTCCGTTGGTCAAATTTTTTTTCCAGGAAACAGAAAAAAATGATTTGTTGCCCACACCTTTACTGAAATCTGCATCAAGATCATAGGAACCATAAAATCCTCCACTTAGTGATGCTTCTTGCTGCTCGTTGAAAACAGGTTTTGATTGATTATGATAAACAAGAGGCTGGTTCATGCATCCTTTCCCAAAGCATGGAAACTTTCTGTCGGTAACTATTTTAGCAACTTTTTTGCCGTTCTCAGGACAAAGTGTAGTATTTTTGTCGAAATTTCCATTCTTAAGCATGATCATCCAAAATTGCCACGGGTCTCCAGATTCAGATACTTCGCACAGCGAAGCAAGATACAACTCCTTTTCAACAGCATAGCGGTCAGGATCAGCATAAGGCTGAAAACCAGGAATAGGAAAGTTGTCACCTGCCCCCAACCTGTTGTCCGAGGGCTTTACTTTGTGATGCACTTTGCAAACACTTTCTTTGTTAACTATGTCAGCATTTACAACCTCTGGGAAGCAATGAAGGCAAATATGGTTTTATAAGTATCTACGCCCTAAATAATGAAGTACACAAAAACAGACCCATATTCTGATTTATACTTTATAACAATGCAAAACGTTTTCATGGCAAAGGACAAATCCTCTGTGAAGCACAAGAGATAAGATCAATAACCTAGGGTGATACCATCTAAACAATTGAAAGATATAGTTTGTTGAATATAAAATGTTCAACAAGATATCATGTATCACATGTATATGAGGCTAAGGGCTAGCGTGCCAAACCCAAAGTTAGCAGCTACATTAATGAAATGTTCACATCATATTAGCAAATTACATGTTATACACACTTGTTCAAACACCGAGAAACCTGAGTTGATGCAAATATAGAAATCCTTGTGTAAACAAAATAGAAAAATAGAAGAGAATAATCCATACCAAGTTTTGTATGCAAGAGATTATGTCCTGTGTCATGTAAAGGCAGTGTATTACTCACAGACTATAAGATTAATGGAAGTAGAAATACTCTCTTTTCATATCCTAAATGAAAATCTGAGCTGAAAAATGCCTCATCAATTTTTACTGGATCTTAACTCTTATCAGTTAAGACATGAACGTGCACACACAATATCACAAATGCAAATATTGAAGTTGCTACTTGCTAATGCATGCCAATGGAAAAATTTGCATAGGTTCGTAGTATTCTCCTTTTTGCAAGAGAAAAAAAAAATTCTAAATTTAATCATCAAGTCCATTCTTCACTTTTTCATCAAATCACTAAAAGATAATATGAAGAGACTAGCTAATGATGCAACAATAATTCTGCAGTCCATGCCAAGGAAACTATCATGCTAGCAGACATACCTTGAGATTAACTGTTGTTGAGTATTAAAAAAAATATATATCAATAATAATTGGAGATAATATAGCATCTAAGGAGAAGGAAAATGCTTTAAATTTCTCTTACACAGCTAGAAATGCAATTTTTTTTACATAATTGATATTCCTAGAAATTCATAACAACCTTCAACTCATGAAACATGCTATAATTTAGGTAGTGACTCATTAACATGTTCTTTGTATATTTTATCATTCAAATGTCACCAAAAGTATTGTCGCTAAGGCAAATCAGTCTTTCTTAGTTTGAGGTACACCATACACAATGGTACGCAGAATAGGTACACGGGCACAATTCACTGCCTAATTCTATTAAGTTGGTCCAAAAGTGTTCCACTGAGCCAAATGATATATTTCCAGATTGTTGGAACAAACAGATGGGCTTCGAGATAGGCCTCACGTTCACTCCGTTATCTAATCCTAGTCCAACATATCTTTAGCTACAAAACTCATCTTCAAGTCAACATAATGTTGATTAAATAGATTATAAGTCGACATTAATTAGTATAGTTGTAATGTGGTTTCATTGTATAGGTATCTATATAATGATCCTAAGGCACTACATTTCATTTAATTCACAAAAATATAAACACCATTCTCCGTAATACCCTATCAATGTAGTCTTTTAATACAAATTCGTGGAAGAGATTAGCGAATTTCGTAACACTTAGCCAAATTAAATTCCCTAAAAAAACGCCATACTAAATTTATAGGATCACACTATACCTCAGAAAGTATTTGAAGTTTATGTTCCCTAAAATATAGCAGGCAGCCCTAAACTTTTTATTAACAACCATAAAAGAGCACAATAACCAATGACTAGTGGCAAACACTGATGGCCTGTGTACGATGGTTCGAATCCCCCGCCTATATGTATGTTGTCATGACATAGTAGCTCATAAAAACATTTAATAGCACAATAAGCGTTCTATAGCATACCAAACTACTCATAACAAAGATTTAATCTTATAACTCGACAATTGCATAATCAAAATTCAAAAACTTGCAAAAAAAATTATATTTAAATTAATAATAGAGGGAATTCGATTAATTAATACCATGGATAATGGGACATTGCAAATCAGCACAATCAGCAAGTCTGGGGCTACCCATATGAGGAGCTTCAAACCCCACTTCATTGCAGAAATTCCAAGCTTCAAAGCCAATTCTGGTATTTGGGTTCTTCATTCCTGGGTCTCCAATGGCTGAAATATAATTTTTTGAGGCATTTGTTGGAATTTCCCATAGATTGAGTAGCAATGGTAACAATAGCAGTAGCTGAAGAGGAGAGAGAAAAGGCATGGTTGATGGATTGAAGAAATGCTTACTATTTTTAGAAATTTATACTTGGGGAGAGTGAAGTGAATGAGAGGGACTACACTATTTACTCTATAAGGCAAGCAAATGATTTTAGGTTCTTTGTCAATTTCAAGTTTGAAAGGGAAGAATGAGTGTTGCAAAATTGTTATTTTTTTTTTCTTGTTGGGTGAAAGTGAGACTTGATTGTAACAAATCTAATCCATTCAATGGATAATAGTGTTTCCTTAGGCAAATGTCTGGAAGGAGCCCAATTTCTCAACATGAGAAACATGGGTTGAATATCAAAATGGCATAAACGTAAATAAAATGAATTGTATTAATATATTATGATTTTTTTTACAACGGTCTAAAAAGAAGGCTAGCTCCCGAGACTACAAAAAGAGTATTTAACTCTCTTAACCATACTAATACATGAACTAAAACGGGGATTGGGGGTACGAATGTTATGAATTGCTTGACAATACAAATACGGTGGTTGAGAGGATCCATCTCCGGTACCAGCTGTTTCGGGGTTTTTGGAGTCCCTCGGGAGAGTTACAATCCCTAGTATGCGCAGCCGACGCCTGTACCTGCAAAACAACGAAAACTCCGGTTGGTGGGAGCTCCTCCTCCGACGATCAAGTTAGTATATCTCCGGAGTAGTAAATTGTACGGATATGGTAAATACTTCTCACGGGTTTAGGGAGAATTCCGCAATGAATATTGCTCGGTTTTTGTGTATAGTGTTTATGGGTGAATTTTTGAATACCCAATAAATGAGGTTTGGTCCACTATTTATAGTGGAAGAACCTGTCCCTCATTTAGGGTTCCATGGACACGTGTCACTAAGGGATTGGAGCCCTGTAAACCTTTGAGAGGCTGCCACGTGTATAGGGTAGTTTTTTACCCTAAACATTTGCCCCTCACAGGTGTGACGTGGCTTAGCCACGTGTCACCTGTGACAGGTGTCATGTTCTGGGGAAGTGACGGTTGGTCTACTTCCCGCCTCTCTCTCTCTCTCTCTCTCTTTTTTTTTTTTTTTTTTTTTTTTTTGAATTTGAATTTGAATGTTTGCGGCAAAAGGTGGCGGTTCGCCTTCTGGGTTCCTCTATAAATAGAGGCAACCCTCTCTCTCCTCCTCACTTTTACAAACTTGCAAAAATTTCCTAGAGAGCTCTGATACCGGCTGCTTTTTCGTTCAATCAGCTACATTGATTCAGACGCGTCCGGATACCGGTTGAGTACTCCTTTGATCATCTCACTAAGGTACCGGATGACTTAGTTATTTTCTTCTTTTTGATTTCAAGTAGAGCCACATCCGGTCTTACACCGACTGGGGCACCTTTAAGCAATTTTCTTTCACAAATTGCATTCAATAGGACCTCAGCCAGTAATATACCGCCTGGGTCATCTTCATATAATTTTCAAAAATTACATTCCATAGACCCTCAGCCAGAAATATACCGGCTGGGGCATTTTCAAGCAACTGTTCTTCAAGAATTGCATTTAATAGACCCTCAGCCGGAAATATATCGGTTGGGGCATCTTCAAACTAATGTCTTCAAGAACTGCATTCAGTAGACCCTCAGCCGGAAATGTTCCGTCTGGGGCATTTCTGAGCAACCTTCATAATTTGCTTTCTGTAGACCTCAGCCGGTCTTTATACCGCCTAGGGCATCTTCAAACAATTTTTTATTTGCATTCATAAGACCCTCAGCTGGCCTTGTGCCGTCTGGGGTACTTTTGAGCAATTTTCTTCAAAACTACATCTTATGAACTCTCAGCCGGTCTTACACCGTCTGGGGTATCTTTGAGCAGACTTCATAATCTGCTTTCCATAGACCCACAGCTGGTATTTATACCGCCTGTGACATCTTCAAGCAGTTTCTTTATTTGCATTCATCAGACCCTCAGCCGGTCTTGTGCCATCTGGGGTACTTTTGAGCAAGCTTCCAAAAATGCATCCCATAGATACCGTCTGGGGTATCTTTGAGTAGTCTTTGAAAACAACATTCTATTGATACCGTCTGGGGTATCTTTGAGCAGTCTTCATAAACTGCCTTCTATGAAAACCGCCTGGGGTATCTTTAGGCAAATTCTTTTCAAAATGCCTAACCATCTGCCTTATAAATTTCTAAACAACCACAGCCGGACACATCCGTCTGTGGTATCTTTGAGTGATTCTCTTCGAAAAACGCCTGACTGTTTGTTTGGTATTTCAGCTTTCACAACATACACAACCGTACGCTACCACCTATGGGATCTTCAAGCCACACTTTGGGATAACGGTTGCCTTCTACAAACTTCTTTACTACTTTAAGGTACCGTCTCTGCTTTTCGCAACTCTTTTAGTTTTTCCCGGTTGTGTAGTTTGTATAGAATAATTGGGCTCTCCCATAACACACATGGCACAGCCTAAGACAGAGGTCAGCCGGTCACCTGGGACGGCTGAGTCTAGGACTAAGGATGCCGTCTGGGGGTGTTTAGACCACCCTTACTCTGTTTCGAATTCGACCGTCTCTGTTCATGTGCTAGACAGAATGGCTCGGACCAGATGGACGACAATTAACCCTGACTACCAGTCCTATGATGCGGCCGTGGATCCGGCTGCCTCTGTTAATAATGACCAAGTCGATGAACCGGCTGGGGATATACCAAGTGAGGTACCAAGTGAGGTAACAAGTGAGGTACCGGGTGTGCCAAGTACGCCTAGTGACGATATCCTTGATGAATCTGACTCAAATGGAGAAGAGTCCGGTGAAGAGTTCGGCTCTGATGAGTCTTCATCCGAATCAGGCGACCCTGTTGAGGAGAATGCCTATAAATGGCTGGTTGTTAACAACCCCACTGAAGCAACTATGACCGCCAGGGATGTGGTCACCTTAAATGCCACTTTTCCTACGTTCTTGCAAAAGAAACCGGTTGGGGTAGGCTGGGAGGTTAGGGTCCCGCCTGGAGATGCCATGGTTGTCTGGGAAGACGATTTGGAACATGCCAACAATTACTTCAGTTGCTATGAGGCGGCATTCAAAGTCGGCCTCCAGTTCCCCCTCCACAGTTGTATAAAAGCCATTCTAAGGGGGTACAACTTAGGCGTCTGGAAGATGACCCCCAACTCTTAGGTCAACATACTAGGATACATAGCCGCCTGTGAGATGCAGGAAATAAAGCCTAGTTGGGAGGCATTTGCACACATGCACTACCTCAACCGGGCACCAGGCGGCTTGAATGCGTGGTATACTTTAACCACGCACCCGGAATATATGATGACCTTGGACAAGCCATCCAAGTGGAGTAGTTGGAAGAGTAAGTTCTACGTAGTCTCTTCACCAACTCCCCAATTAAATCGCCGGCTGCGTACCTACAATAAGAAGCCGGCTCTTCTTGGGAAGAAGTGCGCTCTTCTAAAGGTGCCGGAGGAGGCCTGGGCCAAATAATGGAGCCGGGTCTCTTCAAGAAGACGACCCTTACTCTAGATGATGGGAGTGTTATTGTAGTTCCCAAGTTCTGGGTACCTCTCCCGGATTGGTTCAAAGATGAGGCGTTCCTGTCCGCCTGTCATCTTAGTACTATGTTTAACAGAAGTAGGTTATTTTTTCATCCGGTATATTTTGCTGTTTGCTTGCCTCATCCGGGTATTTACTTGCTCTTTTCTGTTCTTATGCATAAGAAGCATTAGTGATGTTGCCGGCTGAGAAGACACCGGTTACCTGAGCTGCTGCCATTAGGAAGGAGCAGATTGAGAAAAAGAAGCCGCAGCTGGCGGCTAAGGACGGCGGGGTAAGCTACATTCTCTTTTTCCTCTTGCCGGTTGTACTACTTTGTTATGAGTTCGTGACTAACAGGTTGACTTTCCTTTTTTAGGCCGGGAGCCAAAATGTTCCACGCTCCCTGTCCAAAATGATGAAGAGGACGGCTGGGGAGATACCCCAGCCAGCTGCTAAGGCACCAAGGGTGCCGATTCGTACCCTTGCCCCATCTTCTGATAGGCCGTCTGGAGGGGACAAGCCAACCTTTGGAGGCAAAAGCCTGAGAGGTCTCATCCCGGCTACCGAGGCGGTGGTCGAGGCAGGAAAGGAGCCGGGTACTTCAGCTGGTCAGGGCCAGACCACAACTGGCTCAAATGCGACTGGGGGGGAGCTAACCCGTCAGCAAGATAAAGGTATGGCTTCCACCTTTGATTCCCCCTGGCCGCTTGGGCCTCTGCGAGTCAAGTCCCAAGTCAGCCAATCCGGGGATTCCTCAGGCATCCGTTAGAATGTAGGCGCTGCCTATTCCTAGTACCTGACCCATAACTCTATTGTTGTAGATACTACCTCAAGGTGGCCCAACTTCCAGCAATTTTATAAGAGGATGCTCCGGACCCTCACCCGGTCGGAGAAGGAGGCGTTGTCGGGTGTGCACCAGGTCAACCTTGACCGCATAAATTCTCTCCTGGCGGAGGTAATTAACCGGCTGTGTTTTTTGCTTTTAAATTCTTTCTTTCACGAATATGTTGTCTTGAATGGGACTAACCATTTTGACGGTTGATGCTGCAGGTGATGCTGCGGGTGGACGGTCTAGGCGTGCCCTTGTGTAACAAGCAAGAGGAGGTAAGGGATGCCTAGAAACGGGCATCTGACCTTATTGATGTCTGTCAGTTCAACGCCATTAAATATGACATGGAAACTAAATGCCGGGAGATGAAACAGGAGGAGTTTCTCAAGGAAGCTAAGGCGGTTGTTGAGATGGCAAATAAGAAGGCGGCTGACCTCGAGCTCCAAGTCAACAACCTCAAAGCCGTTCTCAAGGCATTGGGGGAAGCCGACAAAGAGAACACCGGGCTACGCTCGAAAGTCAGCCGGTTGAAAAATGAGCTTTCCCTGAGCCAGGCGGACTACAAAGAAAAGATAGCAGCCGAACAGCGACGTCTAGTTGCTGAGAACAAAGCTGACTGCGAGGAGCGCATCAAGCTGGCTGGGGGCTGATCCATCCATAGGTCGAGGATGACTTCTTCGACCTTAGGTATCAGTATGCCACTGCGGTCTATGATGCCAAGGTCCTTGGCCAAGACGCGCCTGCTCCATTTGAGGAGTGGGCTGGTATAGGCGAGGAGGGCGACCAACCGGAGGCTCAGGATCAGCAGGCGGAGGTTCAGGACCAACCGGCTCAAGACCAGCAGCAGCAACAGTAGGCTTCATTTTTATTTCCTCCTTTTACTGGCCTGTGAGCCGTGTATTTTCAATGTATTTCCCCGGTCAAGGGACCGGTTGACATTTGATCATCAATATATATATTTCCGACTCAGTCGGTGGGTTTTCTGTATTCAATTTGATCTTTGATTTTGGTCTTTAATTTGATTTTTGATTGTACAAGTAATATAAGTCATACGGTTTAGCGGGTGTGTTGGCTATAGTTTCC